GGGGGGGGGGGGGGGGTGGGGGGGTGCGTTTTAGTGAACTAAAACGCACTGTAGTATTCCAGCAGAATGTAGCATTCCAAGTTTATTGTTAAATGAATATTGTTTAATGCTATTCCACTGTGTGGAACCACTGCACGCAAGTTCATTAAGTATGTTGTACTGTGCAGGCCTGAGCGAGCATATGATGGCAACATGTTTGAATTCTATGAGTGGACTGGAAATGTTCCCACGTACTGTCATTTTTGAATCTAATATGCTATGCACTCACACTATGCCTCCATGAGGTCTGTGACAGCGTGAAATGCGTGTGTAAAATGAGATGAGATTATATTTTTATGATTTCTAACATGAGCCAGAGAAGAAGCTGCGTGAGAGAGATGATCTTCACACTTCTCTCACACATCAGTGTCTCATACACAATGCGGTTGCTTCTTGAAGTGAGAATACTGCTTTAAAAAGCATAACATTTTTTAGGATGAACTTTAAACAGAAAGTGTTTCAGTATAATACAGCCTGGGTCATATTTTCCTTGATCTAGCTCTGTTAATGGTTTTTGAAGATACACATATTTCCTTAATTTGACTGGCTTCTATCAGGTGACAGATGAATTTATGACAAAATATTGTTTGGACACACAACCTTTGATATAAACAACAAAAGATATGGGACGCATTTCTGTCTTCATTTTAAAAGTTAATAAAACTATGGACTATAATATGGACTTTTCAACATTTTTGGAATACGTTTTACGGGAAAATGCTATTTCAGGCTTTCTACTTTAAAATTGTATCTTTACTTGCCATTTCTTTGTAATTATGTGCGAAATTTACTAGCAATTTTTGAGTGAAAACGGTTTCTACACCAGATTCATTTTTTTTGCCAATATTACAGTAACAAATCTGTGACCCATTTCTGGGTCATGACCTTTTTTTTCTCCCTGTTTAAATATGGTAATGGACTTAATAAACCAGGATGTTTCATCTGGCAGACATTTAAATTGACATTTTTACTTTTAAACAATATTGCAATATGCACAATTGCATTATTTTCCTTTAAAAAAAGAAAAAACAAACAAAAAACAAACATGCATTTTAAATCAAGATAAAAAAACAAACAAAAAAAACGCATAACCACCCACACACTCACAACCTGTCTTTAGGTGCCTTTTTATGTCAAAGGACTTAATAAACCAATAAATTTCATGTGGCAGACATTTAACATTGACATTTTTGCTTTTAAACAATATTGCAATATGCATATAAAAAAAAAAGTGCTATAGTAAATATTTTGTTCTCTCTAAAATACATGCTCCTCATTGAACTGCCTCATGAATAATAATATAATGTGTAACCTGTAAGACGTGAAAATTTTGCAAGTATGATAAAGATTTTCAGAAAGCCTGAAACTTGATATCATTAGAAGAAGAGTTAACAAATTGAACAGCATCTGTGTGACCAAATAACCGTACCATTGAACAAAATTACATTGTGAAATGTTTTCTGTTCTGAAAGCTCAACCAAACGAGACAATGACTGTGGTTACATGGGATTGTAGCGTTTCAGCCTGTGTGAACAGGTCATTATAAGACCTCATATAGCCTCTTTTCAACTATTACCACTGAAGCGAAACCCCAGGGTATATACCAGGACTTCCCCTGAGCTCTGCAGCTACCTCAAACAGGAAATAGTTCACCAAAGGCCACGGCCAGTCTGTATGTTTGCTTGCTGTAAACCTGATCTCTTAGAATCAAGAATTGAGTTAACAACATTGTAGAAAGCAGAAGCAAGGATAGGGTTAACAAGATATGATAGACGACATGCAGAAAGGCAAACGAGAGGTAAAATCAGACTTCTCTGTGGCAGCTTAAACAATTTTTTTCTAAGACAAAGCACAGACCAGCAAAAACATTTTGTCTTTGTTTTAAAGTACAGTAGGTCTCTCACAATTCGAATGAAATAAAATTAAATTTGTGATAGGTTTTTGCAATATTATTTGTCTATTGAAAAATGTATTACATTTATTATTTATTACAACTTTAAGTATGAGAAAGGTGCATTGCAAATAAAATGTATTACTACTGCTATTATTATTATTATTAATTACTGTGGATTCATTAACAGCAGTCAACATGTGGCATATCTGAACATAAATAAATGACCAGATATATATTTTTAAAAAAAACAGAGATTATGAAAATACAGCCAAACATTGAAATTTATAATATTTCTATGATCGCTCAACAACATGCAAATTATTAACATGACATATAATAAATGGGATTTTTTTAAAACAAAATATAGAAGTGTGCTTTACCATTCACAAAAAGAGTACTGGCCTAAATACTGTATTTGTATTAGCCAGATTTTCAGTTGAATTTGTGCCAAAATATCAGTTTGATTGGGCTCATGGTCTTTCACAACAACAACCAAACAAAAACAACAAAAAAAGCATTCTGTCCTCTTTAATTTTTGATAAGTTTATTCTGCTATTTTAAATATATAATATAATATAATATGTCATATAATGCAATATAATATGACTGATATGCTATTGTTAGATGCATGTTATTTTTGCATTTAACACGCTTTTTTCCCTGTTTTATCAAAACAGACCTGCACTTTTTCATAGTAAAAGCTGCCCAGATCAAGTCATCTGTTACTGCCGTATACGTCTTACAGTAAAAAAGACCCTAAATGTCCTGTAAAATGACTAGCATACTACTTCATGCACAGTAAGTGCGCTGTATGCAACAGAAAATAGACTTTATTTAACGAGATAATGAGGGGATAACAGAACAAATTCATTTTTATCTCATTTATTGGAAAAAGCTCTTGACAACATGAATAATTAACATGCATACCAAGCGTGATAGTGAAAACATCCACCCATTAAAGTTTAAAGCAGGTCATAATGCTTGAAGTAATATTTTCCTTTCAAAAAACCAAATGTGCATTTTAAATCAAGATTAAAAAAAAAGAAAAAAAAGAAAAGAAAAACCGCCCACACACACCACACTCACAACTTGTCATGTCTTCAGATGCCTTTTTATGTCTTACAAGCTATTTCCAATTTACCCTGAATTACTCATATACAATTTGATTAAGGTGCAGTGGGGTGATTCTTTACAAATTCCGGTGACACATACAATATTGAATTAAATATGACTGAACATGGAAATGTGTGATCAGCAAACCTTCTACATATATGGCTCAAGGAATTTGCACATCTACATCCACATGTGCTTTGAGAAAAAAATGTAGATGTAAAATGGAGAAGAGGGGATATTTCTAAAAGCATTTCATAATATTTATCAATAATTTGACCATTTAGTACTACTGCTTTTCTGCCACCGCTCACAAACAAGAGCAACATCTTTGTGGTGTATTTGTGATATTCAGTATGACATGATTTAAAGGAGATAATATTTTGTGGATATTCATACCATGACTTGCAACAGCAACCAGCTGCCTGATTAGCTTTACAGGTTAAGTTTCACTGCTTTAACACAATTAAGATTAGTCAATTTTATTATTCTGTTTTATTCCGTTCTATTTTTGTCATTATGTAATGATGCATCTAACTGTTTTTTTTATAAATCACTCCAGATAATCTCAACAAAGTGACTTTACATTATCGTCCAGCTGACCAAACAGGTATGAACACATCTTTAACTCGGCTCTTTGGGGAAATCCCACAGCTCAGACCTCTGTATCCTTAAGTTTCCTGTTTACAGACCTTCCGTTAAGCCTGATTCGTTGCCAAGACGCTCAAGAGAGTCATTGCAATCCAAAACAACACTTCCAACAACTCGTTTTACAGACAGATGCTCCAATGTGTACAGTGAATTTAAAAGATTTACTACTGCAGTAAATTGATTAAAATTGTTTAAGTTATCAATGCACCTAAACAGTAATATATTTAAAAAGTTAGGGATCAGTAAGAATTTTTTTCTAAAATAAATTAATCATTTTATTCAGCAAGGATACATTAAATTAATAATGAGTGGGAGTAAAGACATTTATAATGCTACAAAAGATTTATATTCCAAATAAATGCTGCTATTTTGAGCTTTTTATGAAAAACGTATCACAGTTTTCACAAAAAATCTTTCTTGAGCAGGAAATCTGTATATTAGAATGATTTCTGAAGGATCATGTGAGTAATGACTGCTGAAAATTCAGTTTTGCATCACAGAAATAAATTACATTTAAAGGGGTCATGAACTGAGGAACCAAAATTACCTTGATCTTTTGACATATAAGAGGTCATTGTTCTAAAAAGATATCCTGTATGTTTCAGAAATCAAAACCTGTTAGTCTAAAAACAGCTTATATTGAAGCTAGTCTGCCAAAATTACAGTTTTGAAATGTTCTACTCTATGATGTAATAGTGTAGCTAAGCACCGCCTCCGCAGAAGATCATCAACGCCTGCTTCTACATCGCTGCCTGTTTAGCCCCGCCCACCGATTCGTGCACGTATTGTAAATAACGAGAGGTGAACGCAGGTCTACACGGAAACCAAACAATAAAGATGGCTGCTAAAGATACTGTGCAGTGCCAAGTAGTAAAACAGTCTTTGCATTGCTTTACTTCTGATCCCAACATTAGGAAAGAGTGGATGAACTTTATTTTTAATGAAGATCCAGACCGCATCAGTAAGAACTTGGTCTTTTGTTCACTTCATTTTACCACGGATTCGTTTACAAACAAGGCACAATTCGAGGTGGGATTTTCAGAAAGATTGAAACTAAAAGACGATGCTGTGCCGACTATATTGGATCCGACACGTCGCAACACACAAGTGTGAGTAACTGTTTTTTATTACGTGGTCACTATTGCTTTGTCTGTTATTACAGATTGTTTGCAATGAGTATTTATGCATTCTAAACCTAAATCACTGCAGCATCCATCGGTGAAGGATGTAGGATGTCAAACATTTATTACAACAACTAGTAGCCAATCATAGCAGTGGGCTTTTACAATCCGCCACGCTCAACAAACAGAGCGTGCTGATGAGGGGGGTTAAAAACAGGACAGAAAATAGCCTATTACTTCTATAAAAATTAAAAAAAAAAAATGTATTCAGAAATGTTGATAACATTATAAGTTGACATCAGATAACAGTACAAAATAAAAAACAAAGGCAGTTCATGACCCCTTTAAAATATATTTAAAAAGAAAACATTCATTTTAAATTGTAATAATATTTCCCAATATTACGGTTTTATTTTGATAAAAAAAAATGCAGCCATAAAAGACTATGTAAAATTTTGACCAATCCCAAACATTTGAATAGTTCTTATTAGTTATTAATTGTTATTAATACAATTAATAATCATGTCCCTTTTCCAAAACAATAACCAACATGGCAAAGGGTGGAGCTGTATCCTTGTGTGCCTTCCAGAGCTTGAGTGTGAGCAGGAGGGTGGAAGGACACCCGCATTTGGACACACGGCTCTCATTCTGGCAACCGCACAACCGCCACAGATGGTGGACTCACAAATGAGAGAACACACACTGATACAGGCCCTTTATAAACAGTGGAGGAGTGGAAGAGTAGGCTGACTTTATAACAACTGCCTTTATGGATCCCACTCTTGTGCCTGTGTCTGTTTTTTTCAGCGAAGGAGAGATTTGCTCTTTACTGATGCTTGCGTGCTGGCCTACATCTGTTTCCTTTATCCCAGCAGCCACTGAGGGAGCTGAGCCAAAGAGGAAGAAGAAAAAGATACGATTGATCTCACTGACGCCCGGCAAGAGCAACAAACAGACGCTATCCCATAAGCCCCAAGGCCCACAAGTACCAGCTGCCATCCCTGCCACACGGGGACCGACGATGAGAAGAGCGCACAGCTGTCGATCCCAAAATATGGCCAGCCAACACCTGCAGGCCTGTCGGCAAATGTGGCCAACTGTGTGGCCAAACTGATGGCCCACTTGTTTCCACAGAACATGAAATGCATCCTCACAGGCTGTGAGGGATATAATGTGGCCTTTTAATACGGAAGATGATCAGGATCTGTGTATTTATGCACCAGGAGGTCATGGTCGCTATCTCATCTCCTGCGTTGCTTGCCATATTTCAGGAAGGAAGCTGATCACATTTACACAGCGTGACCGACCCTGAGACAAAACCACAGTGATGCAGCGTTATTATACGCACAGACTGACTACTGGTAAATGCTACCTTATGACAAGACAGTAACGGTGATATATGGATGAGCAACAGAATAACGAGAAAGACTGGTTAGTGTAAACAGACTTAACGGTTCACCCAAGAATTAAAATTCTGTTTCAAACCTGTATGACTTTTTCTACTGTGAACACAAAGACGAAATTTTAAAGATGGTATCTATCAATTTTTAATGTAATGAAAGTAAGAGAGGACTAGAGCTGTCAAGCTCCAAAATGACAAATTCACCATAAAATTATAAATAAAAATGGTCCAAATGGCTCTGTGACGAGAGGGGCGGGGCCGAGAGCCGTGGGAACGGAGCGAGGCCGGTGGAATAAATGCTAATGCGCGACACCTGCACCACTCACCGGTCTCGAGTCCCACGGAGGAGCTCCGGAAGGATAAAAGGAGGAGTGACGACAGTGTTGGACAAGAGAGGACCAGGCCTGGATTTTATTTTGTGTTTTGTGTGCGGCAGTCGTCTGCGTGGGGCTGCCGCTTTACTTTCATTTTGTGTTTATTTGATTAAAGTCTTTAAATGTTCGCCGGTTCCCGCCTCCTTCTTCCCGACCTACGAACGTTGTTACAGACTCATACACTACAAATTTACGCTGTTATTCACTGAAAATCTTGACATCCACCTTAACTTAAACCACCATGAGCTTGATGAGTTCATGAGAGAAGTTGGGAGAGAAGTTGTTCAATTTATGAATGAATCATACTTGTGTAAATAATCTGTTTAAGCAGTTCTAACAAGTCTGAATGACTCTACTGATTAATATGATTCTATGGACTGCTATGATTCTCCTGATAGGTATGATTCTACTGATCGAAATGATACTGATTTTAATGATTCTAATGACAGGAATGATTATGATTGGAACAATTCTACCGATCGAAATTATTCTACAGATTTGAATGATTCTACTGATCTGAATGATTGGAATCATAATGATTATATGATGATCAAAGTGATACTGAATGGAATAATGCTACTGATCAGAATGATTCTAATGAACAGAATGATGCTCATCAGAATGATTCAGTTAATGATTTACATTTAAATACATTGTCCACATTGTTATATTTACTATTTTTAGGGCGCTTTTTGTCATTTTGGAGCTTGTAATTTCCAGTCCTTATTCAGTTGCATTATATCGACAAGAGTGATTTTATTTTAAAAAATTCTAATTTTGTTTTCCAATGCAACAGGACCATACAGTAGGAGTAAACACGAGGCCACAAAAAAAAAGAATCTTCCCACACAACACTGAGTGCACATCGACTACATGTGCTTTAATTTTGAACAGCTGCATAGTCTTGGGTTTTCTCATTTACGTGCCAAAATAAGAATGGAGAAAAAAAACACCTTGTGACTTACAAATAATTCATGCTGTAATGAGCACAGATGTTCCTCCTCACATGTTACAGGACACATTTACCCTCATTACATTGAACGGATCGGTATGATGGTGGTCGTATCTCAGGCATATGGGCCCATCTGCATGCTAAGGGGGCCCCCAAACTTTCGAATTATTATTATTATCATTTTAATTAAATGTTATCTTCTATACACAAACATGTTTTAACCATTAATAGTGTAGTAAAATAAAATTACAATCTGTAAATTATAGAAATGATTAGTGAAAGTGAACATCTTTTACTGTAACTTAAAAATAGAACCCATGACATTAATGACACAAAGAAGAACATGATGTATAGAAAGAAGCACTTGTTCGGTGGCCTTCGGTGGATCTTACAAATTGGGTATAATATCAAAATCAGAATAGGCATATTTGTGATACTTCCAGTAATGGACAATTAAATAATTACAGTAATTTCTTTATTTTTAGTGCCTTATGTAATGTAATTATTTTAAAAAATGAACTAAAAATACATTAAAATCAAGGGAGCCATCAAGGCAACTGCCAAGTCTGAAAGCTCTTAACTCTAAAAGAGTCTTTCACAGGAAATCAGGGCAGTTCACTGTCGTTATGTGGGTCAATAATACATCTATAAAGGAGACAAAGAAAAAGCATATTAATAACTCCTATGACTATATGACTACACTTGACATGCTAGTTAATACAAAAGCATAGGTGCCTTTACATACAATATTTATCTTTATTTTTATTGCCCGAGGGCATACTGAAGACAGACATGTTACACTATTTGGCAAGTCACACTGTCTGATAGCCAAAATAAGACATACATTTTACAAAACATCTGACAAATACAATAAAATATGGGGGAAAAAATGTATAGAGTTTTTTCATTTTTTTAAAAACTTGTTTGTATTTTATACAAATATTATTTTATTTGCATTCTTTCTCTCTAATTGTATATATGTAATTATAATTTTAGATTATATTTACATGTATAATATATATAATTCAGATATGCTAAGTGAATGGCAAATGACAATGACATCTATACACTGATTTAGAAATAATCCTCTAGTTTACATCTCTCTGTGGGTTTTTTGACACAATTACCAAAAATAGCTTGCAGAATATCTTGTGTGATGCTGAATGTGGCTGCAAGAGCACATCAGTGATCCGAATGACAAACAATTAAAAGTATTTTTTGAGCAAACCATATAGGTTATTAGAAACAATTTGCAGTGCAGGATAACCACTGTTTTCAGATTCGCGACTTTAAAACGACATAAAATCAAAGTAGTTCACTTCAGTGACAATTTAATTAGGTTCAGTAACGTGTTGAGACACCCAACAGATCATTAACCCTGAGAAACGAAACATTTTCTTTATTTATACAATGAATATTTTAAGAAGAACGTCATTATATATGATAAATATGGCACTTACGCTCTTTGCTGAGGAAATCCCATCGAAAGCAGCACGTCCAGATTAGATCCATGTTTGACAGAGACGCAACTGTTCTGTCTCAGTCGGCGCGGAATAATCTTTGAGTAAAGATCCTCCTTTGCTGCCATCCTTCAGTCCCATCAAATGATACTGACGACAGTCGAAGACTACACATCCACATCTGCTTATTTAGCGATTTACACTATGACTACAAGCATAATCGTCCCTCCTCCTGACAGCGGCAGCGTATGTTTGTATACAGTAGCCTAGTTATACAGTAGATAAACGAGCTACAGATAATGGCTGTGTTTCAAAAACCTATTGAGCTGCCTACTTACTAAACAACATTTTGGACATCATTGGCGGGTTTCAAGTCAGGACACTGCAGTACATTTGAGCAACGCGCCTGCATGCCCAAAATGCTGTCCAAGTAGGCAGATCACGAGGTTTTGAGACACAGCCCAAGTAATATGCGCGTCAAACACTAATAACTAGCAGACACGTTTACTCGTCATGCTTGACACTAACCCGATTTAATTAGCCTAAGTTACCTAAAAGTCTAAAGCTGATCACAATTTACCGTTTACTGTGTCACATGACCCGCAATATCAAGTAAATGAACAAAATAACTACCATTGCTTACTTATGTTATTTGAGTACTAATGTAAAGTGAGTCAAATAATTTATTTGATTCATTCACATATTGACATACATATGATAAAATTGGAGACATTTCCTGGTAGTGTAATATAGCCTAGATTTAAATAACTCCATTCACAATCACGTCTACTGGAATAAACACTTTCGGCTCTGCACAAAAATGTCTTTACAACACAAGAACAGGATGGGTGTGAAAGGCTACCAATGCAAAGTCAATTGTTTCTCATTTCTATCCGAAACATACAACAATTGGAGCCCCACCTTCTGCTAAGCAATGACCTGTGTGATAAATGAGTCTGAAATAGGAAATCAGTGGCGAGTTCATTTAAACACAAGTTCAAAACTGAAGACAAACTTAAAAGGAATAGTTCTCCCAAAAAACGAAAAGTCTGTCATCATTTTTACCCTCAAGTCAATTCAAACCCTCTGTATGACCTATTGTTCTTCTGTGGAACACAAAAGAAAATATTTTGAAGAATAAAAAAATGGTTTCCATTGATTTTCATTGTATGGACAAAAAATTGTAAAATATCTTTTTTTATGTTCCACAGAAGAAAATACATACATGTTTAGAATGACATGAGAGTAAATGATGACAGAATTTTTATTTTTGGGTGAACTATCTCTTTAAGGAATGTACCTCTAGCGGAGTCTTTATAAGCAAACAGCTTTTTTTGCAAACAAACAATTAAACCTTTTCACTGAGTGATTAGCTTTGACTCTGCACTGATGGGTCATAAGGCACAATAAGACAAAACACACATCCTGCCTCTTGGAAAGCCCTCTTCATCTCCACCTAGTGGTAAAACATAATAAAGATTTATACACTATGACAAAAATTTAGTGTGTATAAATGTGCAACATTGATAATAGTAAGAAATGTTTCTTGGGCACCAGATCATGTGACATTACATTTTAAAATACATTAAACTAGTAAACAGTTATTTAATATTTCATATTATTACTGTTTCTGTATTTTTAATCCAAAAAAATTTAGCCTTGGTGAAAAATTTAAATTTTAAAAATCCTACCAATCCCACCAAACTCAAACATGTATATTCAAGTGTATATTTATGTTTGATATAATTTTGCATTCATAATGTCCAAATAAATGAAAAAAATTAAATTCTAAAACAAATACATTAAAATGGTTTACTGAGCAAAAATGTTGAAGTATGAATGTTGCCATAGAAATAATTTCCAATAGCACATGCTCTCTGAGTAGAATCTCTACAGTAGGTTGTTTCCCCCTAATTACGGTAATTCACACATAATGTAAATTAAATTAAAAACAAGTCAAAAGATCCACCGTACCAGCCGCTCAGGGTCCATACACAATCCAACCACAGCACCACCACTGCCAGGCAATTTGACTGCAGATCCAAACTACACAGACAACAAAGAATCATTCAGATGTGCTGCTTGTTTTCTGTAAGTCATATTACCTCTAATGCCATTAGTAAAGAAATTCATGGAATAACTCAAGGTATCAGTTATGAGAAATTTAAGAAATGATGGATGCATTGACGCATTTATTTACCACTCTCGCAAGCTGTACCATTTTGAGATTTCCAGGGCCCAAACAGTCGTCAGTATACACCGACCTGATGGACAAATTGCAACCTCAACAGTGGCATTTTTGGCAATTTATAAATTAAATTGTATTTTTTTTTAAATGCAGTCAAACTTCTGTTCAGCTTTGTATGAGAGTTTGATGGATGGACTATAGCATCATACCGCCGTAGCTCAAAGTTTTCATCCATGAGCTGTGCAAGTCTGGGCCAGTCTTTACACTGAAAGGCAGCCCTGCATACAGTAAGAAAAGCATCGTTTTCATTGACCACTCGTTATCCTGAATGAACAGTAAGGCTGATGATACACGGGGCAACTTTTTGAGCAATGTTGCCGTCAAAGGGCAACCAGGTGAGACACAGGGCCCACAACCAATCTTAAGTATCCAGGTAGAGATTTGTTGCCCATTTTCACTGGTAAAGTGCCCAAACAACATTGCTCAAAAAAAAGTTGCCTGGCAAAATTGCTCAAAAAGTTACCCCATGTATCATACAAGAGCTATTACAGCATGAAAAGTGTAACACAACAATTGCTGAAGAGCAAATGCTCAAAGATAAACCTACCTGGCTTGATCTGTGAGTTCAGCAAATGATTTCATAGCTTCAACAACAGCAGAATCACCTGTTCAGAAAGGAGACGACTTGTGAAAGGCATCATTTCTTTACAAATAGCACATAAACCAGGACATGAAGTAGAACTTACCGTTCAACCAGCACTGTCTAACATTACTGTGAATCCGTCCAGAATCACTTGGATCGCCCAAATAGGCTAGCCAGAACAAGGGAAGATCGCTCATGTCCAAGGGAATGTACTCTCCTATAGAAATTAATATTTTGACATATAGTGAAGCCTCTTAAAATTCAAGTTTCTATTGTTGTACAAACACAGTACCGTTTTCAACTTTAAAAATATTAAGTAATGTTTTTTGAGCAGCAGATCGGCATATTAGAATGATTTCTGAAGGATCATGTGACACTGAAGACTGGAATAATGGCAGGAATAAATTACATTTTAAAATATTTTCAAATAGAAAGCTTTCTTTCTTTCTTTCAAATAAATGCATCCCTGGTGAGCAGAAGACACTTCATTCCAATACATACAAAAGTCTACCAACCCCACACTTTTGAATGATGAACATCCCAGGTTTATATTCAATAATAAAAAATTTTATTTATATTGCCCAGAATAATATTTAGGTTCAAAATCAGTACCATAACCCCTCTCATCTATCAGCTGTTTGTTGAAGTCCATGTAAACCAAGCCTTCATAGACCTATTAGAAAGTTAATAGAGACAATCATGTTCCACACAGTGCATGTCAAATTGATGAGTCAAATTAATATGAATGTACATACCTGCACAACTCTATCCTGTAGACCAGCTGTGATGAACAGCTCATCAGTCTCTACATTGAGGATGAAGTTGGCTCTGATTGGTTTAGGAAGATCCTGTCCCAGGATAAAATTTAGCTAATAGTTTATATCAACATAAAAAAGTTCTAAATCAAACCACTGATTGGCAAATGCTGAACATACGTTGTCTGTGATGTTGTAGAACTTCATCAGGCACTTCAAGGTGGCAGACACAATCGCACTACACAGAAAACACCCAAAAGGTGATGTTACAATATTAACATTTAATCCGAATAACAGTGTTTCAAACCAAAAATCCACTTACAAGATCAAACACCAAGTGTACTGAAACTTGAATAATATCATACATTATGTTAGACTGTAAATCAAAAAGGGCATGAATGAGCTTGGGAGAAACTGACTGTTAATGTTCATTTAGGTTTGTAAGTCAATGTTCAACTCACCTACTGCCAGCTAAACCCTAAAAAGTCAAAAGAAACGTAGTACAAAGTTATTTCATCAAAATAAACTCTCAGAACTTCAACTCTAAATAAACAACTGCAAATAATATGAATAAGTCTCACCACTTGCCGAGGAATGTTTGTGTCATACTTGAGAGTAAAATTCTGCTTGGACAGGGCAATGCTGTTAGCATAAAAGAGGCATAAAATACACACAAGTCAGTGTCTTAACAGAAAAAGGTGAATTTTCATTTCATGCCAACTTATGTTTACAATTGTATTGCAGCATCTCACCCTTGTTCAGAGCAGAACTGGTAAAACTTTTTACAGGTGGCTTGTAGAAGTCTCAGACCTCCCAAATACCTGGAAGACAATTAAATAAATAGTATTAATTACAATCATTTTTGTTGTACCACAAACCTTCTGCAAACCATCTCCAAAGCAAAGCAATACAAATTTTGAGCAAAGACAAATGATTGGACAAACCCTTCTTTCCGGCTGATCTGAAAAAGATCCTGCAAGCTTCCGAATTCTGTGGGATCATTCAGAGGATGAGGTAGAAGGACCTTGATCAAATTAACGAGATAAGTGAAGAACAGTGCTTTCCTCGTGTCTTTGATTTCTTATCTTAATCTGTTCTTATTTACCAGAGTCTGGCTCTCCATGAGCGTGACCTCAGCCCAGAAGTTAGCGATGCTCATAGCAATGGTTTTCCCATTGAAACCATCAGAGGGGTTCCCCATGAGTCCAACCCTGTGAGTCAACACACAGACCCAAGTATAGTGATGAAAAGTAGGTTTTGTGGATACTAGCTAATGTATTCTGCCTGACCTGGCATATGAGCGGCATGTGATAGGTTTAGACGGGGACAACTGCTGCTTTGAAGAATAGTGTGCGAGCCATTTTGTGTAATCAGACAGACCCTGTAATAACAGATGTTAAAATTTATTAATTTGTATTTATATTAATACAAAATGTATGTATAGAATAATGTGGTATACACTATTGTTCAAACTTTTTTTAAATTTAATTCAAGGATGCAATAAATTCATCTAAAGTGTTATTTATATAATATTACAAAAGTTTTGTATTTCAAATAAATGCTGTCCTTTAGAACGTTCTATTCATCAAAGAATCCTGAAAAAAAAATGCATCGCATTTTCTACAAAAATATTAAGCAGCACATCTGCGTTCAATGTTGATGATGATAAATGTTTCTGAGCACCAAATCAGCATATTATGTTGATTATGTGACACAGGAGACTGGAGTCAAATGAAGACTTGATCAAAAAAAAAGCAGCTTTAGTGAGCATTAGAGACTTCTTTTAAAAACATATTAAAAAATCTCCCAAAAAGACTCCCAAGCTTATGTCACAAATCTATCATATAAAGTCAAATAAATATATAAAATTAACCCAAAATAATGCTACATTTGTACCCACCACTTGTCCAATTAGTTGAAATCCAGTTGGTAACTTCATCCCATAAACAGGAACTTTCTCCTCATTTATAAGCCATTCCTACAACCAGTAAACAATAAACATCTAAAGTCACACAAAACAAAGGCTTGATGCTTTACATTTTTAAATTCAAAGATAACTTAAACACTGACCCAAAACTTGCCAAAAGTTCTATCATTAACATCTGGGTGTTGAATGAGGAATTCAGAGATGTACGGTAAGGACTCTTTGCGCAGGCAGTAGAAAACCACACTGGCCAGACGAGAAGCAGTGATGCCCTCTTGAGGCTTCTCAAGGAATCGCATGACCCTGGTGACAACAGGTTTAGAGGCTTGTAGTGAATGCTTAAAGCAGGGTGTCCAATCCTTCTCCTGAAGGGCCACTGTCCTAAAGAGTTTAGCTCCAAAACCAATTAAACACACCTCAACCAAAGTAACCAAGGTCTTTAGAATTACTAGAATCTTCTAATTAGGTAAGCTGGAGCTAAACTCTGCAGAATCTTGGCCCTCCAGGACTAGGATAGGACACACCTGTCTTTAAAATTCTATTTAATTGTCACTTTGATTTTTAAATTACAACAATGTCTATGTGCATGCTTATGCTTACTTGTATACAGTACAAAACATAAATAGATATTTGTCTGAATTTCTCTGTCACTATTTTAGGTATGTTTATATTCAATGGTTATGTCTTATGTCTATTTTCTGTATTCATCTGTCTACCTGCCAACCTGCCTAAATGATTTTTTTTTTAAAGTAAAAGAAAGGAAGAATCTAATAAGCCTGGCTAGTTTTATAATATCAGAGGGTACTTCTCCCATCTGTCCACATATAAACATTTCTAATGTCTATTTTAGTTTTTTTTTAATAACAGTTGTCACTTTGCTAAGCTTAGCTAATGTTATAATATCATATCAGAGGGTATTTCTTCCATAAAAACTACAACAATGTGTCATGTCTCACCGATGGGTGTTTGGACACACTTCAACAATTCCTCTGGTGTAGCTCTTCTCTCCCGACTCCAGCTCATAATATATAGCAAGTTCTCCAGGCTGAAGTATCAAATATAGGTAATGAGAATTACAGTTGAGTAGGAATCAGACCAATTATTTCAACAAGGTAAACGAGTGGATGGAATAGTGATGAGTGAGAGTAAATACAGTTGCGTGTGTGCAGTACAGTAAATGTGGTAATTACAGGGTATGGCTCAAGTGGGAAAGTACAAATCAGTATGGACCTGGTTGGGTCACTATGTATGACATTTCACCCACTAGAATAAACTTGTAATAACACAATCAATAGGTTGAGTCTCTCTTACCTTAGATTTGAAAAAGCGAATGACTTGTGCAATATCAAAGTTCTGATCAGCACAAAGCATGTCTCCTGCAATCTACAAAATGTAATTTCACAACTTAAAACAATTTAAGATTTAAAAGAATAATAACCACAAAAAAACAAAATTACAATTAGCTGAAAATGTACTCACATTCAGGCCAAGATGTAGATAAGTTTGTTTCTTCATCAGAACAGACTTGGAGAAATTTAGCATTACATCACTTGCCACACCCTTGTATTTTGGCCAGAAGTAACTAAAATACAATCATGATGCATTTGTAAAAAACATATTTTCACTTTATAAGCCATTAATTGATAGACTGGAGTTGTGTGGATTACTTGTGGATGATATTTTATCAGCTATCTGGACTCTCATTCACTGTAGAGTAGGGGTTGAACGACTTCTGATTTTTTTTGAAGTCGACCCAGTGTTGACAATGCATTTCCGCGCTGAATGATTCTGTGCGCGTCATGTACGCGCTACTGTCTGTAGCCTATGTGTGTGCGTTACAGTGCAGCAGCGCATTAGATTAGAACGGCGATTAATTTACAATAAGCTGTACAATAAGCTGTTTAAAACGTGCATTCTCCCATTCAATTTCGAGCATCCAGTAATATAATCACACGTCTTGTGGAACGCTTTCAGAGTATGCATTTATTTGTTATTTTAACTGTTTGGAAACGGAGCGTAAATGTGGAAGTCCTTCAAAGATTTCTTATCCTGTTGTGCCCTCTATAGGACCAGCGACTAGTCGACGTCAAGCTTTAAGCGTCATGGCAGAGCATTGAAGTCGACTAGTCGATTAGTCGGTGCAACCCCTACTGTAGAGGATCCATTTGTGAGCAAGAGATTAAATGTTAAGTTTCTCCAAGTCAGTTCCGACGAAGAAACAAAATCATCTACATCTGGGATGGCCTGAGGGTGAGTACATTTTCAGCATTTTTTTTTTTTTGGTCCAATGGAATAGGTTCTGAAAAAAGCCCATACCACCATGATGTCATCTTGTAGCTGTCGGCTTCGGATGGCCAACTCAAGATCTGCGACAGCCCCAAGTCTGTCATCCAAAGTTGTGCTGCCATCATTCACAACATTCTCCACTGGAAAGTCATTTGCTGTTGCCCACCGTTCATAGTGCTTGTATCTGCATTGAATGCATTTTTGAACCAATGTACACTCTTAAGTAAGTTTAATGGGTGCTATAGTGTATCTTAAACATTCAAAAGAAACCATGCCTCCTGCCCTTATTTACACACAAACTGGTTGGCATAAATTACAAATGACAGCCAAATATGACTTACTTATCAGCATTTGTAACCAGATAGACTTCACTGAAGAGCTGGCGCCTAAGTGAGAGGGTAAATACTGTGTTGCATTAGTTTGCATGGAAAACACCTCCTACAAATATGCTAAAAGTGCAGAACAACAAATATAATGACTCACGTGTTGACTGTTTCCCACCAGAAATCCAATATTTTCTTTCCCCCCACTCCAGGTAACAGAGCTTTGGGCACACCGGTCAGATGAGCATACAGACCTGTAACATCACTCTTGCGATACAGCGACAAGTTTAGTGAAGCTCAGCATTTCATTGCAAACATATTCTTATCCATAGCACACTTTCTCCTTCTCTTTTCTTTCTTGTTTTGAATATAAATGTATAATGTGGCATTAATGCTACATGAGCGCTGGTTGCAAAATCATACAAAGTTAAAAAATCATAAGTTTTTGTAGCTCACATGAAAACGTTTATATTTTGATTTACCTTGATCTGTGTCTCTAAAATCGTGCCGTGCCCTGCAACTAAGAGTATGCAAATCATTGTTTTGGCTTATTATTTATTTGAAATGTCAAGTTTGGCAACGCGTACACATTTCATCACAGGGTCTGCGGAAAGTCCATAGTGCAACTAATCACACAGTAAAAACCTTGAACTGAATCGCGTCACCGGAAACCCTGCAAATCCTTAAAGAGACAGGCTTCTTTGTAATATGGCAAGCCGTTTTAACATTCAACTATTTAAACGAACCCGTATGTTTCTATACTAGATTTTTTTTTTTTAAATCTTAATCACTAGCAAGTATTCCAGTAGTGACTAGATAGTCATTTAATAGACACAAGAATTAATCTCAAATGTCACTAGTACTAATTAAAATTTTAACGTTAAAAAAGTTCAAATAGACACGTTAGTTTTAAGGAATAAATATTCAAACGGCCATAATGTTCATGCTAATAGAGGAAGGTCTAAAAGGCAGGTCCCTGCAGGCTGTCCTGCAGTGCTGCATGAGCCTTGATATTTCAGTCTTCAGTTGCCTGATAATTGCTATTAAACAAAAATAGAAAATAATATCTCCAGGAATGGGAGATTGTTTGTATATTTCTGTTAAATACTTAACATTTGGCAACTGAAAATCCTATTACAACATAGCAACACACTTGTGGATGCTGAGATGTTCAACAGATTCAGATCAGAATCTAGAGAATAGCGTAGTGGGAAAATATGTTATTTATTTCAGTACTCTGCATAGTGAAATCTACTATGACCATGTTGTGAATTGTCAATTAACAGGCAGTTATTTGACATGCTCATTATTCGGACAAATTAAGCTGAAAAACCTGAACTTCAAAAGTATGAAATATATGAAAATGCATTAATAACACAAAGATTTAACATGAATAATTTCCACAAAGTTTAGAAGTAACAGTACAAAATAAACAAATTTCTCTGACCTGTCCTGGTACATAAAAAAATGAATGCTAAATTACATGAAAGTACGGGGGACACAAAAAAGAAAAAGAAAATATGTACATAAGGCAAGATCCCAATGGAGAATCATCACCAGTTTGTTGAATACTGCATTATGTAAGTCCTGCATTGTTCAAGGTTGTTTAAAAACATCAGAAAATCAAATCTTCTGCACTGAATGTTTTTCGATCTAAATTTCCAAAACTCCAAAATCCTTTAAACTCTTCACTGGGGATCTGCACTTGCTGCTGCAACTATGCCATGCTGCCGGAGCTGGCTCCTCAAAATCTGATTCTTAGATTTCCAATCTTCCACCTTTAAAAAAACAACATGACAAAACAACAAAACAATCAATGAGAATAAAACCTCTACCTATGACTCATTTGGAGATTTAAATGAGCTTAAATCAATTACGTTTTTCTGTAAAATTACAACCAGGATCAAAATGATGATTCAAGTGAAAGTGAATTATTATATAGACCTAAATTATCATATTAATTTAATTTAGATAATTAAAGGGGCCCTATTATGCTCTTTTACAAAGTCTTGATTTTGCTTTGGGGGTATGCAGATCTTTTTTATGCTCAAACAGCAACATTACAGACTAAAGTTGAAAAAGTGAAAAAGCATAATAGGACCCCTTTAAAGTTATCCCTTATTGGTGCAACCAGTAAAATACCTCTTGCCGTAACAGCTGGTTATCCATCTTCAACCTGTCAAGGCTGTTCAGTTCATCTCCTAACCGGCTGTTACTTTGTCGCAGCTCTTGAATGTAATCGCAGGCCTTTGATAGGATCCCACCCTTACTCTGTAACACACACAACAGCAAAATTAGAAATAACCCAGTACTTCCTGTTGCTACAACTATAGTCACAATACTAACAAATACCTGTCCAGTTTTAGTGGAATCCATGGTGCAGTCTGGAATTGTTTTGGAGAGCTGAACAATCCAGTTGTTAATTTTGTCTCTACGTTTTCGCTCAACTGTAAAGTGGTTTGGAAATAATCACTTGCAAATAACTTACACAACTAACCAGAAGTAATTTCCAATTATCTTTCAGTTACCTTCATTGTGCTGAGCTCGCCTTTTCTCATCTCTTGAATTCCTTGGCCCCTCGGTCTTACTGCAAATATTTATAAAGTATGTTACAACAAATGTTTTTGTTCCTTGGGTTCATTTTGTTCCTACACTAATCCATTAATTCAGATATTCAGTCAAAAGTTCATTTAAATACACTGTACACTATAGGTCAAACATTTTAATTGATTTTTTTTATTATTCTGGTTTGAAAGAAGCCTCTTATGCTCACAAAGCTGCATTTATTTGATTAAAATTACAGAAAAAAAAGTATTTTATAATATTATTACAATTTAAAATAACTTTCAGCAACCACCACTCCAGTCCTCAGTGTCACATGATCCTTCAGAAATCATTCTAATATGCTGATTTGGTGCTCACTTATCAATTATGATTGGTACTCAATTATTAATAATGGTCCTTATTATTATCAGTGTTGAGAATAGTTTTTGCTGCTTAATATTTTTGTGAAAATCAGGATAGATTTTGTTTCAAGATTCTTCAATGAATAGAAAATTCAAAGCATTTATCTGAAACAGAAATCTTTTGTAATGTTATAAATGTGTTTACTGTCACTTTTGATCAATTTGATGCATCCTTAACTGAAAAAATATATATATACTTTTTTCTTTTTTTATATAATTTTCTTTTATCTATCTTACCTCAAAGCTTTGAATGGTTGTGTTATCACGGTTTCCAAAAAAATATTAAGCAGCACAACTATTTTCATCATTGATAATAAGAAGAAATGTGTCTAGAGCAGCAAATTTAGTATCTTAGAATGATTTCTGAAGGATCATGTGACACTGAAGACTGGAGTAATGATGCTGAAAATTCAGCTTTGCCATCACAGGAATAAATTACATTTTAAAATATATTATACTAGGAAGCAGTTTAATCAAATAAATGTAGCCTTGTTGAGCACAAGATAATTTTTCAAAACATACAAAAAATATGAATTATTCCATACTTTTGACTGGCAGTTTTTACAGTTTAATATAAAATAATAACACGGCATAATTATACCAACATCAAAATAATAAATTGAGTCCATTATTTTTAATAAATTTTTATTACTGTTTGTGGTCACTAAAAAAAGAATGCAAATAAAGAAAGCAAAACAGCAATAACTAAATAGAGAAATGTATTAAACGAGGCTGGAAGAAGCAACATTACGCATTGTAAGGTTGTGTACGAGGTGCAATAGACCTCTGGTTGGCTCCAGTAAGGACCTCCTGCGGGGACATCATAACATACAACTGACCTAAAACAAGAGCAAAAAAACAAATAAACATAAAAACCCAGGCTGTTTTGCAACAGAAGTGATGTACCGTTGTGTATTCATGTACATAATATCAATTGAAATGCATCATTTATGCTAAAAAAATGTTTGATGATGTACCTGCAGGAGCACTTTGACTAAGCAGAGCATCTGAGGCCTGAACACCAGTCACCATGGTGCCGGCCGCTGCGTCTGAGATAGTAGCAGGATAGTATGTGTAATGGGTTTCTGTGCCATCGCCCTCCAAGCCTTCTGACTGAGAAAAAACAGCCTGAAAAACATATTTAAATAATATTAAAATTAAATGTAATTAGGTTAAATTCTATTCATCTATGTCAGGTGAAGCAATTTTGCACCTGAGTAAGAGGCTGTGTTGTAGCAGGAAACCCAGTCACTACACTAACAGCTGTTGCACTGTCAGTTTGAGCTTCCAGCTGTCCATCTGCGACTTGGATTACGCGATACGTAACCTGAGGAAAATTAAGAGAAGTTATGTTATGCAATACAATCTTACACCTGTCTGTAGAAGCTACATAAAGTGAAAAAAAAGAGATCACTGCTACATTTTTCTTGAGTCGTCATCAGAAAGAACAATCTATGGGAACAATTTAGGTTGGTTTAAACCTGGTATTAACATCTGTCTGGAATGGACAGCACTAAATAATATTGTGAAATTGTTCTCCATTGTCATCACCAGGTGTAAACTGGGCCTAAGTTCTCACTCAGGTTTGAATGTAACCCTTCCTCCTACCTGCCCTGAGGGAGGGTACAGCTCCCCTACCTGCCCCCCAGCTCCCTCAGTCTTGAAGAGGTATTTAATCGGCTGCTCCGAGGAGAACGTAGAAGCAGACTGAATAGTTGTGATTGCTGATGGGTCCTCTGCAGTAGCAACTGCCCCTGAGAGAGAGAGAGAGAAAAAACCCCCCCACACACATCAATTCTCAAAACGTATTTAAAACTAAACTTGCATTACTGCATCATGCTTAATTTTATAATACCTCCTTCAATGTCTGGAACATTGACATCAGGTTCAGAACTTTTCTGTTGTCTAAAAACACAACATTTTACATTGTTGAATATGTAGTTAAAATGGTGGTATTACAAATTGTATAGTTCAAACATTTAGTTATTTGCTACAAACCCTTTCATATCCACTGTCAGTATGTAACAGGTAAAATGTGCCTTCACTCCCAGTAGCCTGATCAAACCTGTACAGGATCCAACAGAGGAAACCAACAATATAAACGTTAACATGAAAATACTTGTGGAAAATGTGTGTGTGGGTACTTCATAAAATACACATAATAAAAGTTATTAACAGAACTGGCCAACAGGAGTCACTCCTTACATTAACACCGGATGTGTATTACACGATAAATATTTTAAAATAAATAAATATTATATTAGATGCACAAGAATAACTAAATTGTGCATACAAAATGATTTATAATGAATACAAATGGAGATTATATTTGATTAAGTTGAAAGGATAGCTAGCTAGCTAACTTACCAGTGCTATCTTGCAAGCTTAGACAAAAAAAGAAAAACATTTTTTAAATGCGCCGCGTACACGAATAAATAACTTGCATCTACATATAGCCATAATAAATTTGGTGTTTAAATAAGCAAAAGAAATATGTGAATTCATTTATATCTCACCGTTTACTGTTGTTGAGCCGTCTTGTTTACAACAGGAGCAACCGGAGCGGTTTTCTGCGCATGCGCACAGAGTCGACTCCAATAGGACATCACTATGGATTGGCACTAGTGATGTGTCGTTCGCGAACGAGCCGGCTCTAAGAGCCGATTCTTGTAGAAGAGCCGACTCCCGTCGGGGAGAGCCGAATCTTCAGCCGGAGCCTTCTATTTTAACCCAATTTAGCAATTGTGAATGGTTTGTGTGTTGGTAAGAAATTTTTTTAATCAGTGTTTTCATAAAAGCATTATTTTAATGCATTTTTTCATTACAAAAACAAAAATTCACATGCGGCTAATCACATGGGAGGATAGACTAGGATGTGAAAGAAGGAAGGGGGACACACGCTCCGAAGATAGCGAGTGTAGTGGTAAAGGCCTGGTACACAGAGCGACACGGAGAGGCGAGGGATCCGGATTTAAAAGCAAGCGCGTTGGTTAAGGTAGGAAGACTGCATTGTTGCAACATCGGTCCACCTCAGAGAGAATCTTCTCAAAAACAGGACAAATAATCACAGAGAGGAGAAATCGCATCAGCACATCCAAGCTGAGGCATCTGATATTTCTGAATGCCAACCTACACTAAAGACTAAAGTGGTTTAAAGGGGTCATATGATGCTGCTAAAAAGAACATTATTTTGTGTATTTGGTGTAATGAAATGTGCTTATGCGGTTTAAGGTTCAAAAAACACATTATTTTTTTCCACATACTGTATATTATTGTTTCTCCTCTATGCCCCGCCATTTTTTTACAAAGCTCATCGGTCTGAAAAGCGAGGTGTGCTCTGATTGGCCAGCTATCCAGTGCGTTGTGATTGGCCGAATACCTCAAACGTGTGACGCAAATGTTATGGCCCTTACCATATTGTGATGCCGTGTCCCGGCCGGAGCGACGTGACAAAAACATTAAAACCCATTATAAACGAGGCATTTGTTGCATCCAGTGGGGACATAATTACAGATTATAATGACATATACTGTCTTTTTACGCGTTGCGTTGCATCGCGCCGCGTAAACATAAAACCATGTCTGAATTTGACTCTTAACTTTTATAAAGAATATCTCTTTGGATTTGAGACTTTAGTCTTTGCAACTTTACAGATCTTCTTTATGCACCAAGAGCTTGTAACACTCCAAAGAGAAAGGAAAAATTGAAATCGCATCATATGGCCCCTTTAATGTTAAGACTTTTGCATTTATTTATTTGATTTGTTTGCTGTGGTTTTGTGTTCAATTGTTCAATTAAAGTTTTATTAAAATGTTAAATAATAGTAACTGTATTTTTTTTTGTAACGAAAAAATGAGGCTATTATAAAAACACTGAATAAAAAATTGCTTACCAACACACAAACCATTCAAAATAGCTAAATTGGGCTAAAATAGAAGGCTCCGAGTGAGACTAAATGACGAGCCATTTGGGAGCCGTAAGAGCCGGCTCTTCTAAGGGCGCCGAGCCAAAAGAGCCGAATCTTTGAAAAGAGCCGGACTTCCCATCACTAATTGGCACTTGCCTTGGCCGTAGTAGTATCATCAGGGTTTTACGGAAGTTGGAACGTGAACTTTATGGAGAAGGGTCTGTCTGTGGACTGCAAGACAGGGGCGTAACTTGAAAACGTGTTTTTACAGCAAAATCACAAATATGCTATATTATGTAGGTCACAGACAGGGTTTAGATTAAGCCGGTATTAGGCCATAGTTCAATTCGGATATTTAAGTAGCTTTTATAAACGTGCCTTGGATAAAAACACTACTGATGTGCATCTTGAGACAAATTTTTTTTTTTAAAAATCAGCCAGTTCAAGTTGCTTTCAGTTAAAACAGCCCAGACATGCATTTTAGTCTGGGACTAGTCTTGACCAGCCTTGTCTGTGAAACCGGGGGATAGCGTCTTTACACCTTTTGCTTATATATTGCTTACTTTACACCTTAGTTTTAATAGATTATTAACTCAATAAACAATACCACTGTATGAAAATAACTTACACACTTAAATTTGAACGGTTATTTCGGAACAAAAAAAATTCTCACCGTTGTCTCTATACAAGCGGCCATCTTGCCAACAACATCTCGTTTTGACATCTCGCGTGGTTCTGTGTGATTTGGACAACTTCAAGTTACGCCTCCTTGTTCAAGTTACGCCCCTGTCTTGCAGTCTGCAGACAGACACACTTGACTTTATGCATCATTTTCTGTAACTTTAATTCATTCGCCGCCTTTTGTTAAGTTTTAGAAAGTGGAATGTTTAAACTTGTGAAGGTTTGAATTAAGCAACTTTAAGCGTATAATGTGTCGTCTTATAAAACAAGCATGACTTTTTATAAAGCCGTTTCGTTCCAGATAGCAGTGGTAGCGGCCTGGGTTCGATCCAATGGCGGGAGAGCTGACTAACGTAATGTTATGTAGGGAGTACGTTTGTTTGAGTCCAAATCTGAGTGTCGTCTTCGTTGTCAAATGTAGCCTATGTCTGAAGAAAACGCTAGACGGCTCTGGGGGTTCGATCCCTCCTCGTCTTCAGAAAAATCCAAATAAAGTAACCGCTGAGCTATGCCAGCGCAGACAACACTCATTTCGTGTTATATGGAAATCACATGAAAACATTTTATGATGTTCTTTTTACTGTTTATCAAATAACGATTATTTATAGTTTACAGTGTGTTCATAATTATGCAAGCACATTTTACCAATTCCAAACAACGTCAGTCTTAATAACTACTATTAATTTTGTATTTAATCATTTATAAGTGATATATAATTGTCCATGAAGTCTGGAAGTGAAACTCCTTATTTTCAGGTGTGCATAATTATTAAGCAGGTTTTCTTTTACATATAAAAATTAGCCAAAAAAGAGATTGACCTCAGATTGAAAAGTCAAAAATTATTAAATGCCCATGAGAAGGATGCAATACTAGAATTTGCTAATTTAAGGCATGACCATTGGACAGGGAAATGCTCTTTGAGTCAGCAGGGTCAGAAAAAATCTGTTAGACAAGAAAAGGCACATGTTAACTGCAAAAGAATTAAGAATAAATGTAAAGAATTAGGTGTGAAACCATCAGGAACCATTTAGTCTCCAACACCACCATTTTCCAGAACTGCAACCTACCTGGAGTCTCCAAAAGTACAAGGTGTCAGGTTCTCAGAGACATTGCTTGGGTCAAAAATTCTAAAAAATTATCCTCACTTAGTTAAGAATAACATGTTGAAGTGTTGTGAAATTCATGAAGACTGATTTTTATATGCTATAGTTGGGAGTGACTCTTGAAGGACTAGCACCACGTCCTCTTGTACCACTGTTTGAAGAATTTATCTTCAAGAATCTGGCAGTAAGTTTTGTGAGTTAATTTTTAGTCGATCTCCTGTCCTGAAAAGTCTGTCTTGCTAAGATGGGCTAAAAATGAACTCCCAAAACTTACTGCCAGATTCTTATAGATTCTTCAAACAGTGGTACAAGATGATGTGTTGCTGGTCATTCAAGAATCACTCTCATCTTATCTGTCTATAAAGCCTATAAAATGTATAGGCTTTATATATTTTCATGTATTTTACTACACTTCAGCATGTGATTCTTACTAAGTGAGGGTCATTTTTTATGATTCTTTTCCTAACCTAAGTCTCAGAGAACCTGACCCCTTGTACTTCTGGAGAGTCCAGGTAGGTTGCAGTTTTAGAAAAAGGTAGTGCTGGCTGGAGACTCCAGAGCAACAACACATACGTTTCTTTACTTTACATAGTGTTTATTTTGGGGAAAACTGCTAACAATATAGTTCCAAATCCAAAAATGTCATTTTCATGACAAAATGCTAAACATGATACATAATTTGAGATGTGGTGACAGTGTGACATACATTAGGCCTATATGTTTATGGCTTTCAGGAAAAAACAACAACAACAACAACACACACACACACACACACACACACACACAATTGTCTCATGATGCATGCATACACTGTTGAACATTATTAGTATATGAAACTATAAGAGTGTTAAAAGTGTGCTTTTAGACACAGGACAAAATGCCCATAGTTGAAGAAACACCAATAAAGGCTTGTTGTAAATTGTTATCACCTTACTTTTCCTGTAAGAGCGGGTGCAGCCATTTGTAACTTTAATGGGTCTGGCTTCCGGTCTCAGCTGCATCCAGCTATTTTTAGCTGTACAAAACAGCTTGTTTTGCTGCTTTATATTGCAAATTGGTGTGTCTGATCGCTGTATTATCTTAATTATGAACAAAATGGTTTGTACCAACAGTTTTACCGCTTACTGCATGTTGTTATTCTTCTCATTATTTCCCTATAGCGGCTAATGAACCAGAAGTCTCACCCATAGGCTTACTTCTGCATTGAAGAATAAGTTGGATAGCTACTAAACAGATTTAACCCTTAATGGTTGTGTTCCTAATAAGTTTAAGTCTAATTTGCTTCACACTATTTAATCTGTTATGTGAGTTCATGTCATTTATTTTCCATTCCACAATGTTTCCTATACCTGTGAGTAGGTTTTGAGTAGAGAAGGATGTTTGATTTTACAAGTATGATTTTACAAACTTTACAAGTTTCTTGGAAGAAAATAAATGCTATTAACCACAGCAATTTGGAGACATGTAGTAATGGTCCACTTCCAGGGCAGTCCTTTGGTCGCTCTGAAAAAAAGATGCTTAATCTGTTAAAGGGTGGAGGAACTGATGTAAAAAGACAGAAAGAAAGAAAGAATGCAAAATTCTGAACTCAACAAACTAGATAAACAGTATTTTGACAGAATATAGCTACGACATTTGCCACAAAATGCCCATGTTTTTACATGTTTTACAAAAACATTCCAACTATATTAACCATTATTTATTGGTCGAGATTAAGTTTTAAGAAACTGACACTAACTTTTCCCAGTGTATTTCACAATGAGTGTCTTCTCTTCTTCACTTGTTCTCCGTGACAGAGCGCATACGTAAGTCTTGGTCTGGTTATGGTAAATCTTGGCATGATCTTTGATAATAAGTCGACATACTTCAGATGTAGCATAGAATGAAACATCGCTGTTTA